CAAACAGTAGTTGCACTATTAGTTACTATTACCCGTGAATAACTCCAAATTGCTCAGAACTCAGCAGCACGTTTAAATGAATTTTATTAACTGAACACACACAAACACATTTGAAAAGTTGGAGAATGTACATATATGAGATATTGTTTTTCTGGCCTATTGGCAATGCTTATAACACTTAGGGACTCTTGGATTGCTTAAAGTAAAACAGTAGACCCCAGAGATCCATGACCCAAAAGTTGGGATTCTAGAATCAATAGATGGGGCCTGGTTGCTTTAATAGAGAGTAACATAAGGTTGCTAATTGAAAGCTGAATTTTTCATTAGCCAGAGAGATACATTTGACAGGCCTTTCTCTCAGCTTTCGCCTTCCATAGGATGAACACAAAGATGTAGACTTTGATTTCATGAATGTTGAGATAATTTATGAATTACAACAACATCCTTTTTCTCTCTTGTATTCCCTGTAGTTTGTGGTTATAAAAGAACATCAGAACCTCAGTAATGGGAACCAACCTGTTACCCTCCAGGATGGCCAGGCAGCAGGAGGGGGCCAGTTTCTCTCCCGAGAGCCCGGTAAATGGTTATCTTTACTGTATCCTGAATGTTTTCCTGAATGAAGAAGTCTTCCCTAGGCGCAGAAGAAACAGTTTAATTGTATAAGCTATGTGAGCAGCTGGGCTGTATTGGAATGCCACTGAGCTTTAGGGAAAGGTGTTTGGACCGGATTCCTGTCTTCTGTGAGGTTACTCTGGTCAGGTAGCAGTCTCTAGATCACTCTGAGTAAGCACACAATGAGTGACTCCTTTTGAATTAGGTTGGGTTTTGAGGTTATTTGGGGGGTTTGGATTTATATCAGTAGGTATAGTTTCAGTGAAATTGTCAATGGCTCCAAGAAAATCTGTTCCATGTTCTAGTAGGAAAGGTTTTTGTGAATTTAAATTGATCTGGGAGTTCTCCTAGGGATTGGAGCGTATTCAAGTCTTATCAGGGGCTAGCGCTCCACTTGACGCCTGGCTGTCTATGAAGTCCAGCCAAACCACTGGGACAAGGGCCACAAAATCAACCCAGATCCTCAGGCTATTCTGGAACTCAATCTGCCTCAGGTAGAAATGGAGTTAGATACACTTTGACATAATATTTTCAACAAGAGTTGTAGTATGATAAACCTCTTGGGCTTCAGTCTCAGGTGTCACAGCTCTGTTTCATAACTTGGGGAACAAGGTTGAATATGATTTGTATCTTAAGCCTTGAGAAAGGGTCAGAGAAACTCTGAGCCAACAAAAACAGTTCCTCTGCTAGTGAGAGGGGTTTTAGTGCACTTATATAATATTTTTGATATTTGCCCTTCAGAGATATGCGTATTACCACACTCTCCTCTTCAGATTTCCTTGTAGAGAGAACAGAGACTCCTTATCTTGAAAAACTCACTCTAAATCCACCTCTCATACATATGTTGCCACATAACCCAAAGTCAGTAGAACTCTATTTCCTAATTTGAGCAAGGCCCTGGATATTAAGGTACACTTAAGAATAGAATATTAGAAGTACAATAAATATTATAGTGTTATATATACTGTTACCAGTTTCATTACCTGTATAATGAAAACATTTATCATTTTCAAAAGTTGCTTGGGTTGTTGTTATCAGTAACATTATTAGGAAGTATGAGGTCGGACAATTAAGTTCGTGAACTTATTGCAATGATTTGCTAACCTTTTTGATATCAGAGGGATTATTCATTATGAATTTGTACCAACTGGACAAACAGTTAACCAAGTTTACTATTTGGAAGTGCTGAAAAG